CTTCACTTCGCTCCGCAGGCAGCTCCGTTCGGCTTGGCATGCCGTGGCGGCGTTTTGCCGGGCCCTGTAAGTCACTATATGTATTTCGAACAAACGTAGGCTTCCAGGAGGGGGGGGGGGGGGGCTGCGGCCCTTAAGATTCGCTCCTTACACATGAGAAAAGACTGCAACGGTGCGACACCGGGACTACACCCCACCCTTCTGCTTGGAAAATGAATAAAAAATAACAAGCACAGTTTTCAGCTTGTATTGTCTTAAAACAAGACTTTTGCCATTGTTTTGAGTATATCGACATATAGCTCTGAAACGATTAAAGATACGGCAATTCCAAGGACTGATTTTGATTCAGAATGTGCTGTTTCGGATATAACTTCTGACATTTTTCGATTTTAGGCCTTCTTGTACGCCTTTATGTACATGTACCGGGTGTTGCATAAAAGACACAGGTGCGGGCGGGTTTGCCTACCCAAGGGGCTATGACGCCTTACGGGCAGAGCGGGTAGGCAAACCCGCCCGCACCTGTGTCTTTTATGCAACACCCGGTACAGCGTGGTCATTTTGGAGTATTTTTGCCGAAAAAGCATCTCCAGCGCCCAAACGGTGAGAGATAAAGCCAAGCGGGCATAATTTCAGTCCAAGGAGATCTACTTTCAAGAGTTGCCCCTTAGGAGATCATAAAAAAAAAAATTGTCAACTTTTTTGGCCTCCCCATTTTTCTTTCATACCCCCTTTCAGCCCCTTAGGGGTGGTCGCCAGGATTTGCCGTAGGCGTTTCGTTTTCTAGGAGCAGTGAACCTTAAGACACCGTGAAAAAGTCTCTATAGCACATCTCCTTCTAGTAGAACAGACAGACAGACAGACACGAGGTCGTTTGCATAAGCCCGCTGGATAGCTTTTTTCAAAGCAGAAGGGCGGGCTGAAAATAAAAATATGATCGGTTGCATTTCCTTCATTAAAAACTTGTCTCCAGTCCGACGCGGCGAAGAGTGACACCTCATTTCCGCCATGGCACCCGCCAATGAATGGACTCGCAGGCAGGGCAGGACCGAGCGCCCCGGCTTGCCCCGGCCCGGCGCGCGTCAGCCGTCGAAATCGACGGGCCCAACGAGTTTTTAATCGTCTTGAAGAAAGGGGCAGCTTCCCCCTTCGCACGGTCACACACCCGCCCCACCTCCCCCGTCTGTCGTCGGGCTGTCGGCCTCAAGTGACAGGCGGGCCGTCAATGGGGCAGAGCG